TGAGCTTGAGAAGGCGATGTCTGCACGCCTGTGTGATGTGGAATGAATAGCCACAATGGGGGACTTGTGGCAACACATTCGCGACCAGGTGACAGCTGCTGCCAAGGAGACCACCGGGCGCGCAAACTGTAAGCGGCCTGATTGGTTCGATGGGAACAATGCGACCGTTGACGCATTGGTGTCAGAGATGAATGCAGCATTTGCTGCACATGTTGCGGACCCCAGTGACTTGGGGAAGAAGAGTCAGTTTCGCAAACTTCGACGGCGACTGACCCGAGAGCTCCGTCACATTAAAAATTCATGGTGGACGGAGAAGGCGAAGCAGATGGAATGCTACGCCGAACGCCGCCAACACAAGGAGTTCTATGACTCCTTGAAGGCGGTGTATGAACCAAGTTTGGAGCCGCTGAGGACACTGATCGATGGTAGTTCAGACGCTACCTGCACACAGACTGCAGATCTGGTAAAAAGGGCTTTGACTGTCTCTTGAACAACCGTTCAGAGATCGACTGGCCTACATTGAACGGCCTGAAGCAGCACGATGTGAAGGCGAATCTGGCGGATACGCCGACACTGGATGAGACGCAGGCAGCCATCGCTCAGCTGCGAAACGGCAAATGTGAAGGAGCCAACGGGATCCCGCCTGAAGTATTGAAACACGGCGGACCCGCGTTGTTGACTGCGCTGGACCAATTGGTGCAACGCGTATGGATTGAGGATGAGGTAATTCCTGAGCTGAAGGATGCCCTTGTGCTATCACTGTACAAGAGCAAAGGGAGCAAGCAATGTTGCACGAATTATCGTGGCATCAACTTGCTGAGTTGTGTGGACAAGGTGATTGCCCGAATCGTGCTCAACCGCTTCGTCAGTCAGGTTGTAGAAACGAACGTGGCGGAAGAGCAGTGTGGATTCCGTTCGGGTCGCAGCACTATGAATATGGTGTTTGCGGCTCGTCAGTTGCAGGAAAAATGCAGAGTACGACACCAGTCACTGTACTCGCTTTTTATTGATTTCACCAAGGCATTTGATACGGTGAACGGCGAGGCATTACGGCTGGTGTTGGGTAAGTTTGGTTGCCCGCGTAAGTTTGTAAGCTTAATTGAATGTCTGCAGGGTGGTATGCGAGCGAGGGTGCAGCTGAGTGGAGAGACCTCGGATGACTGCAGTTGTCTCTGGTGTGAAGCAAGGCTGTGTGTTAGCTCCTGCCCAGTCTAATATTTATATTCATGCAATGATATCTTGTGCTTTTGACGCTGCTTTTGATTACGGTGTTCGTGTGGAGCCCCGTATTGATGGTGGGTTGCTGAACATCCGTCGTTTCGGTGCGAGAACTCTAGTCTGTGAGCTTACTATCCGTATGTTTCTTTTTGCTGACGACTGTGCGTTGTTTTCACACAGTGCGGATGAGTTACAGCATATGACTAGTGCTCTGGCTTCGACAGCGTTCAAATTCGGGCTCACGAGCAACACAAGCAAAGCTGGCTGTCTCTTTCATCCTTCACCGGAGGTGCAATCTTCAATATTGCCGCGAAACAGCATTGGTGCTGAAGTATTGGCAAACACCTCCCGCTTCAGCTACCTTGGGAGTGTGATGTCGACTGATCAGCACCTACAAAGTGAGCTGCGTATCCGCGTGTCGAAGGCAGCGGCGGCATTCGGGAAGCTAGAGTACCGAGTGTGGAACAACCATCAGCTTACCATTGGCACGAAGCTGATGGTGTACAAATCCATGGTGCTGTCCGTCCTTCCATACGGCAGTGAAAATTGAGCGATGTAACGTTGGGATGTGCGATATCCCGAGCGGTTCCATCAGCAGTGCTTGCGACGGATTTTGCGCATCGGTTGGGGCGACAGAGTTGCAGACACGCAAGTGTTGCGCCGAAGTGGGATGTATGCAGTGGACTGCATAATTTATTGAGACACCTGAGGTGGATAGTCATGTGAGCCGTATGAATTCGACGCGGATACTGAAGCAACTCTTATATAGTCAGCTGAGTATAGGGAAGCGGAACGCGGGGAAACCGAAGTTACGTTACCAGGACATGATTAAAGTGAGCCTCACACGTTCTAATCTTGATTGCAGATCATGGGAATCGAAGGCGGTTGATCGGCGCGCATGGCGCGATCTGGTCATGAAGGCAGTTGCCGAGGTGCAGGAGAAAGCCCTCATGCATGCGGAGAAGAAGCGGCAAGTGCGGAAGCGGCAAGCAGCGATGGGTTGTAGTCCATCGACATCGAGCGCATGGTGCTGTCGTACATGCGGTCGCGAGTGCCTGAGTCAGGCAGACTTAGTGAGCCATGAGCGAGGCCACTCGTGACCACTACCGAAACGACGACGAGTCCTGCAGAGAACGTAGGCAGAACCAGCGCAGCGTTTGTAGATACGCCGCATTCTATTTACTAACCGCGTGCTTGCATGCTAAGTCTCTTTATTTCAGGTGGTGGGTTTTCAAACTTGTCCTAATGCTTTTCTTTCTCAAATAAATGTCCACTTGTACGCTCTTCTATAAACCTGCACAACTCGCTTAAGCCATTTGAAGTTAATTTCGATAACATTTTCGTGTTCATGGCTTTCCGTAAGGTATACTTTCTGACCTCGTGAACTTATCTCGGATCCTTTATTAACAACTTATCTCATATGCTCATTAATTTAAGATTTTTGTCACGTTTCCTTATCCATTATTCGATTTACTTTCCTTGCTATCTTTCTCTCAAGTGATTGGCTGTTGTTTGATATCTCCGGCATGGCTGCGCTTGATGTGCATCTTGACAAGGTGCCTACCTGTCTATTACCCACTACTCCGTCCATCTGGCTCCAGGAGACAGTTGGTCTTTGCTGGAGGGGACGGAGTGCACGGTCCTTGTGGCCGTGCTAAGCTCAAAGAGCGGTTCCATGCACTCAGTGTGGAGGGGACTAGGCTCTAGCCACCGCCTTGCGTGCGCTGGATTCCCCAAATACAGCGTGCTTGTGTTTGCCTGTGAAGGAGTGTGGGCCGGCTCCGTTGATGACACGTGGCTGCCATCCACATGCCTCCCGGTCTTATTCCTTCGGGATTACATTGGATATGGGGTGTGTGGTTGGAGCTGTGGGTGGTGCAGCGCAAGCCACCCATGTTCCCTCTGTAGGCGCAGGCGTCCTGTGGCTGGCCACAGTGACAGGCAAATCCGAAACCGGATGCCGCCAATCAATATATATATATATATATATATATATATATATATATATATATATATATATATGTTGGTCGGGGATGGCATTCTGCCATTCAAGGTGAACAACTGCCGATTTGTTCACAAACGCTATCAACTTGCCCACATCTACAGGCTCGGAGCACACGATCTGCCGATCATCTCGCATGAAAGTAACCTCCGTATGCTAGTACAGTACGACCAGTTGTTCCAGACAGTCTGAGTCCGCTTCAAATATGGGTGACCAGCATGTGTGTCTATTGCAGAGGGAACTCGGGATCTTGCAGTTTGTCCATCTTCGCCTCCCTCACTTCGAATACGCTATCCAGGCTTGACAATCTCAGCTGCAGACTGACCTCGCAGCGCTGGTGATCCCGAAAGGTAAAACAACGAAAAGGTCAGGGGCTTGCGTCACTTTCGCATCAGGAACAGTTAAGAAAACGCGTAGTGCCCCGTGGACGCTACAGGTGGAAATGTGGATACTGGATAATGATACACCAACCACTGGGTAGTCTAAGAATTTGTGACTCCTCTTGACAACTGACGAGACGTCTTAAGCATAGGCCTTTGTACTCGACATAAACCATCGTTCTATTGTTCTCGATGATGCTCAAGAGTTAGCAGCTCACGAAGGTGCAATTAACTATTGGATCAGGCTTACTATTACGTTTAACGGCACCGAAGTGATATCTATTGGATACCACAACTGCGTATAGGCCATGCTAGTTGCTTAAACTTCTGAGTGGAAATGTTTGGATCACAATCAGTGCTTACACTAAGAGAAAGGCTTTCGACTTTTGACGCTAGCAAGATCGCTTCCACTAGCCGCTCTACATTCGAGCCATTAAATTATTCGTTGTCTGCTGCGCTTCGAAATGTCTGTTCCAGGAATAGAATGAGATGGCATAATGAACAACAATTCACTCCGAAACGAATTCGATTCAACTTCTGGTTCTCCGTCGGTTGAACTCTTTAGATAGAGATATCGGGAGCAAAACACTCGTCAGGGTCGTGGTGTTTTCTGACACACACAACAGAGGAATACCTTCAAGATTTGTCGCGGCTAATGCGAATGTCTTGCTGGGTCCTTGGATTGTCTGTTATATGCGTGGGTTGCGATACATAATACCAACTTGAAACACGATTTATGTTTCATTGCTCCTCGATTATCTGTGGCCCCCGAAACTGTATCTGAGAAGTATAAATGTTAACTATTGCTTGGTCCCAACGCCGTTTTACGAATCAGTAATTAGAGATCACTGGTCTTCCCTACTATCACAATACAGAAAGCCAATGTCTGTGAAGCTCCGTGGTTTAACGCTGGAGGTATATAGCCGGTGAAACACTACTTTCCGTTTCGGGTTCAAGCCCTACTATATGCACTTGCGAAGTTCAGGCGAGCATGAAAACGGACACGTTCACTGCTGGCAGCGAGAAACAACTAACAATAATATAGTGAGAAATTTCTTTAAAAGAGCAAAGCATTCAATCTTAAATTTCAGGTGGCACCTAACTTGCTCTACTAGATCGTGCAATGCATGCAACTTTTGGTGGGAAAGTTGTACCTGATTAAAGTATGCCATGCAACTAGTACACATAGGACCTGGTTTGATGGAAAATTCCCCTCTCACCAAAAATGAACGACCGCTGTTGTTCGGGGTGGTTCGTTCTTCTTAAATGCTTGTCAGTTGCAAGACTGCTCTTTTGGGTACCAAGGCGAGATGCGTGGAGGTTGACATTACAGTCCTAAGATTGTTCGCTTCGGGTACCTCAGTAGCGTGATTGGTTCATAGTCACATTAATGGACAAACCTCCATAAGAAAAGGATGGATGTTCTGGTAGGGACCTGGGAGAAGGCAGGTAGCTCATAATGTCTACATAGCCAAATAATTTACACACAGTCCTTAACGAACATAGTTGAACGAAACGGTGTTTCCTGGAAACGAAACCGGACATATTTTTCAGAAAGCTTCCGGAAATCAAAACACAAGGACAACAATTGGAGTGCAATCGTAATCCGTCGGATTTGGGGTTCAGATAAGGAAATTCAGTGAGCGCAAGAACACCGGCACGCTTGTATACATGTAGTGCGTTTGACATGGCACGCACGTGTTCACTCACCAGTGCAGTCAATGTGCACTGCCCATAATGAGCGTGCTCGCAAGCACTTTTCTGCCCGAGACCACGTTCTCCATTAGCCGCTCCATAAGCCACCGTTGTATGAATAAACCCATAAGTTGCTAGATCCCAGCCGCTTTCTTAGGCACCTACGGTAGTTTTGTCCCACTAAAACACACATCAGTAAATAGCTAAAAAAACACTAAATCAGCACTAGTCGAAAGATCACAAAGCCAGTCCCTTGCAACGTGGCGTCCGCTCCACCGACAGCGCACGATATGTAAAACATCGTATATGGATGGAAAATTGCGCCAAAGCAGTTTCAACCGCAGACTCACTTCGTTAATTTCTGCTATTAGTATCTCCCACAATTTCCAAACTTGACTATTTGGTGACCACATTGGTTTAATATTTAAGTCCGTATCGAAGTAAACGTTTTCTAGGAAAAGCAGATATACTCTGCACGAACGTCGAAATTCGGCCCTGTGTCCTTTCCAAAAGGTAAGCAGAATAATGATGTGAGATAAATCAAACCATAGTTGAGTTTTTGCTTGAACAAATGAATTGCGGCCAGCTGATGCGAGACTAAGAAGCGCAATCAACTCCAGATGGGCGCAAAAATGTTCACTCGGCGACGGTTGTGCTGCCCAAAGGCAATCCTCATCGAATTCCTCATTGTGTTCAATTCTTTCGAATTGACCGAGAAGGTTGCGCACATCGTGCAGGATGCGGAGTGTACTGTCCTTCAAAGGGAAGAGCTGAAATAATGAAACAAAGGTACACATGATTAGAAAGACCCTCTGTCTTTTCCATACGTTGTGAACCACTAGCTTGTTTTTGCATCATAAAACTTGGAACATGAAATTTGTGCATGTTTGGGTGGCCAAAAACATGGGGTAGGAGTTTCCAACCATTTGAGCAGGATAGATCCTGTTGCAGTTTCTGCAGAATGTTAAGTTTTTAGTAACCTTTTGATTTCTTCACCAGTTGGCCAGTGAATTAGCCGCTTTAAAGTGAGGTCGATGAACCTATTATCCGTGTGTTTGCTCAAGAAATTGCATTTCCGATCCTCATACTTGATCGACTCTTCTCTTAAGTTGATGAGTCCACATTTGCAATGGTCGCCTCATCGGCACTGTCCCAGTACGCGTTCCCTTCAAATGTTAGCGCTTCAGAGCCATTTAACAAATGTTGGTAATTTGGCCTAAAAGAGGTTAGTGAAAATTCGCAAGAACTCTGAAAATGTACTTAAATGAGCCAACACTGCTTGTGCGAGACAAACATAGTATGTATATGATGATTGATATTGTGTCGTTCACGATTCAGTACCTATATACCTGCACTTCGTGGTGGAGTGACGGACGAAGTGAATCGTGCATTAGGCAATCGAGAATTCTACGGGTTGTACGTTGCAATGCAATCAGTGTTCTTGCTTGGGTCAAAGACATGGACTTAACTCGTCGAAGACACGCATCTACGTTATCAACGCCACGCATTCTGTGTGTAAGTTTAACGAAAAGTTCCGCACAATCTACCTCAGTGATTATTAAATCTTGGAGGTCGCGTGGAGGATTTTCTGCCGCACAAAGAATTGACGACATGGCACATAGCCAGGAAAAACGTGGTCCTTTGTGCTGTAGACAAAGCGCGAAGTGACGCACATGTTGACTTTCAATGCCTTCGCATATCCGAGGATTTTTGAAAATAATCGCAGCGTACACCATCGCGTCATCGGGCTGAAAAATAAAAAAGGAACCCGTAGGGTCGAGATCTTTACGGAATGTGCGATAATAAACATCCGATAGCCCCCCCAAAAAGCAGGAGAAGGGATTTACCACTTCAGCAATGCTAGGGTGACGCATAATCCGCTTGGATGATGTACAATGACCAAGCAAAGTTCGGTGCCAGGAACAATTTTTTCAACTGTGCGGTCAGCCACAGTTCGTTAACAGCTGAAGCGCGGTTATGGCATAAATATACCACAAACTAACAACGAAACCGCATTGCATAGTCTTTCGTCGAAAAGATTAGAGTGAGAGATAAACCTAAACATGGGATGAAAGATCGCTAAGGGAATTAAGTGGCTGAAAAACCGAACGGTGTTAGGACGAAACCGCGCTGCCATATCAGCGAGAGCAGCGTTTGGAACGAAAAATATAGAATAGTGCGTCTAGGCTACAGAGTGAAATTGGCATAAATTAGCACTAATAACACTGCAGAGTGGTCAAGCAAAGCAAAACATAGCATAGCGCATCATCCTGAAAATTGGCACTTTCACATCACCCGCAAATGTCACAGCAACGTCTTGTTCGGCAACAATTAGCAAAAATCAAAGCCGCACCGCGAACCAGACATCGAACAGCTCCCACTGCATGCAAAGGTTTAACGACCCCAAGGTAAATCCGAGCCACGAGCCATATAGCTCGGCCAAGTAAAAAAGCATAGAACCATCAGCAGCTTCCGGAACAGTTATTGCCCTCAATATTCTAACGGAATTCCTGAGAAAGAAGCGCTAGATATATTGAAAAGACACTGTACGCTCTACGATTCCCTGGTTTCCGGTACCCGATAGCTTTTTTAAGGAAATATTGCAGGTGCGCTATTTGTTTTGGTGTGTAAATAATTACTGAATGGGGAAGAAGGTGGAAGAGATGACGGCCTGACGTTCCATTTAAATGGAATTGTCAAGGTTGCGATTAAACATTTGACAGATGGCTTATCTAATCTTCAGTTGGTGAATATATCATTCCGCCCGGGTTATATCCCGTCCATCATGATCACATTTAACCTGTGTGATGCGTATGGCGGCCAGGTACGGATATACCCGAGAACTGTCACCACTGCGATAGGTAATGGAATCAAGTAAGACAGCTAGGTTAAGTACACTAAAAACATTTCGTTGTCCTGGATACTCCTCACATTCTTACGTTACCGATAACATGATTCCGAGATTAAACGATAGCTTGAATCGCACATTTAAGTGAGAGAATATTCGAAATAGCTTGAGACAGCATCAAATGAGGCAACGAAGCGGCCTCTTGCAGACAGTATTTTGGAATACCAAGCCAACATTAGCCATCTGGTCCTCCGCGCCTTACCCGTTCCCTAGCCTCAAACGGACATCTGGTTTGTTTGCTCAAGCCTTCTTTGTAACACCGTTATGAGTTCATTCACAACGGGACTGATTGCTCCCCTATCCACTTCTGTGTTGACCAGTTGTTCCGGGCACGCTCACTGCCGCTTCTGTGTTTGCCTGACTACGGATCTGTGCTGACTTCGCATTGCCTCTACGTCCAATGTTTTGTGATTTGGACCAATTGTGAACTAGCACCCGCTCCCATACACCCCACTGCCCAGTGCTACCGTGCGTGGACACATTGTGCACCTAGGGGATCGGATGGCAGAGGTTCCTGTACCGAGGACTCAGGCACCGCTACTTTGAGTTTGATCACACGGCTGTCCCCTAGATTGCGTGAGTTCAGATCCAGTATAACCAATTGTTACTGAATCCCTCCTAAAGCACGGTCGCTCTGCGCTACAGGTGGGTCACGATTCAACAGCCATAACTTTTAGGTGTTCGAATGCTACTGGATGGCTTGGGAATGTTCACATTGAACCTAATAGGAACTCCGCCAACTAGCTTGTTGTTGTTGATTTGGGACGTTTCCGTCCTCCTCACATGTAGCTCGTAGCTCTTAATTCCTTGAAATATTTTGCCTCCAACCTTCAACTTAATTCTTTTTATGTGGACTTTTAAATGTAGGTACTACGTTTACAAACATTCTGTGTGTTGTGTCGGAGCCCCACGACTGCTTCCACCCACTAACGGTGGTGAGAACACCAACGACCAGGCAACAAACAATGTTCACGCCGCACGCCAAAGCGGCCACCATGCGTTTGTGTGTGCAACTCAATCACATGATTCAAATTAGGGCGTATACACAGACTATGCAGAAAGGCTGACAATCGATCAATCAAAGCTAGTCATTCCCGGGGCGAAGGATCGATACGATGTCTCACGAACGAGCGAAATGTACAGGGTAATGGAAAAGCCCTTAAGCATAAGATTCAGTGTCAACTCAAGCTAGTCGCAAATGTGAGGCAACAGAAAACGTATGTGGGAACGGTAAAAGAGGACGGGGTGAATAGGGATGAGTGGAATAAAACTCACAAAACCACGGGGAGTAGTGGAGTACTCTCACCTCCGCTATAACACTGTGTCATGTTGTTATTTGGCAATGGCAGACTCGAAAGAAGTCCATGGGGTAAATCCTGAGAGTGGGACACCACGAGTTACCGCCCTGGATCAGACCAACTCCTTGTGACGACCCTGCCTAGCCTTTGAACTGACGTTGGTAGGGCAGTGAGCGAAGATGTTTGATGGAACGACGGCGGCAAAATTTTTCAAATATTAGAGAAATAACTTGAGTGCTATCGTCGGAAGCCAAGACATCGGGGATCCCGTGCTTATTGGATATTCGGTGGAGTCAAGTCAGTCTGGCGGTTGTGGTCGCTAGATCAATGGTCACGAAGCAAGGCTATTTGGAATAGAAATCAACACGAAACAGATGGGAGATGCCATTGATTTGACCAACATAATAGATTTACACGCGAGACTAAAGCATTATGGCGGATTGTCAGGGAACTGGTGGCTGACGCATGGCATCTTGGTTGTTTATTGACATCGGGAAAACGGTGAACAAAGTTGTCGATATCGTTATCGATTTCGGACCAAAAACTGAGGCTGCGAGCGATGTCTTTACTCTGCTGATTCCAGGGTGTGCAAGATGAAACTGGTGGTGTATGGTTTGTTTATGCAAAGCAGGGACGACGACTCCTTCGGCAGGCAATGGTACAGATGCTGAAGTTACTTATACATGGCAGTGTTAGGTCAGGGTGTCCAAATGCAACGGATAGGTTGGCGGAAAACAGGGACCTGTGCAGGTACATGATGTACGTCGTTGGAGGTGAATGTAAAGCTGCGGATAACGCTTGAATGCTGATGGTGAGCATCCTCCTCGATAGTAACAGTGGCAAGTTTGGAAATGTGACGAGGAAAGCCACCAGCTTGACCGAAATGCTTAGTGTAACAAGCAAATTTGAAAAACGCACATAAGAAGAATGACGGCTTACCGTCGAAGTCGGCTAGCTAAGTATGCCGGGACGCTATTCTTGTAACCAAAGATTGATAGTAACCGCTGATCGTCGGGCTGTAAGATGAAATGTCGATCAAACATCAGCTTGTGTAGCTTATTGGCAGCAAGCCCAATAGCAAGGGTCTACGTTTTCGATATGCCCGTAGTTCTTGGCTGTGAACGTCAGCGTGCTTGAGGCACTTAGAGAAGACTACTCCGAATCTGCACTTCAAGATATAAGCGACGACAAGAATTGATAACGTCAGGTCGTAATGTGTCAGTGGTAGTCCAGAAAGGCGCATGCGTTTTCGGGGCACAAAAGCCATCTCAAATGAGGGCGACCGGCGCCAATGTACGTCCTTTTGCAGTAGCTGATTTAATGGGGCTTACGCATCGCGTAACAATGGCTTGAAGGTACTGTAATAGCTTCTGAGGATAGGGAAGGGCCGCAACTAAGAGACCTTTTGGTAGGCTGCATCTAGTTAATGGCTCGGAAGTTTTGGGGCTCAGGATGACCACCATTCGCATCGAAGATAGATCCGGAGTACTTGATCGACCGAAGGAAACGCACATTTTGCGGACAGGTGAAAACCGTACATTCGTCTAAAGTTAGCAAACAGGCTCTCGGGCAGCTTTTCTGGGCCGCAGCAGATAATGAGATCGTCTGGGTACGCCGCCGTGCCCTGAATACCAGAGATTGATGCGTCCATCGTTTGTTGGAAAAGAGCTGAAATGGCGTTGAGACCAAATAGCAGCCTGGTATACTGGAACAGATCGCGGATTGTCGATTCTCGGAAGCGGTTGCGACTCAGCAACAACTTTGACTTGTAGGTGGGAGTTTGTCAGGTTAATCTATGTGAACCTCGTACCACCACTGAGCACTGTGATGTCGTCTGGTGCCGGCAATAAGTGGTATTTTGTTGAAAGGCAGCATTGAGACCATTAGTGAAATCGGTACAGATGCGAAGCGACCCACTCATTTTTTGATCACCACGAATGAGCCTGTGCAAGCAGAATAAAACACAGTTAACGGGACACCCAAAGCTTGCAACTGTTTGTGTTCGGCATTAACCAAAGGTACGGCTGCGTATGGAACGAATTTTTTTGGGATGGAATACCGCTTGAGCGAGTGAGTGCGTCTACAGAGGCGAAGTACATTCTGTAACCCTGAAGTGAACTGGCTGATGATATCGTCGGTTTGGTCAGTCGATATTGTGGGGGGTTGGACCGCGCTACAGATGTCCTAAAGAGGCAGACCAACCAAGCTAAAATTATCGATCCAAGCGAGACCAAGTAGGTCAGGCTTCGCTTCCTTGATGTAGCAGATTCCGTTGAATGTGGCAACTGGGAAGGAGGCTGAGGAGTGTAGGTACCCGATTGGCTGCACACAACCCCAACAGGCGCTGGTGGTGGATTTGTAGGTCGACTCAGATGATGGCTTGCCAAGGGATCACCAGAGATTTCCGGAGATAATCTTGATGTCCCATGCAATGTCCGACTGCTATTGGACGGGCTGACCATTGATTAAAATCTTGACGGACTTCCCGCGGTCGTCAGCATTGACTTACAAGGCGATTAGTAGGCATACGGAACTGTCAACC